CCCCCCCCCAATAAGTCTTCAGACTCGTTTAAAATGCACTCAACTATGAAATCTAGAGAAGTCAAATTGCTCAGGGCAACAGTTGCTCAGGCCAGGGCTGACAACACAAACTCATTAGGGGGGTTGTTTGGTTGTTCCTCTTCAACAGATTTCACTTTCTGTCATTTGAGGCATTGTGTTCAGTTCAAAGCAGGCTTCAATACGTTCCATCCATTCTCTCTTGAATGATACTTCCCTTTCCTCAGTGACAAGTCCTCATCCTTTCCTTTCAAGATGCTGGAGAACTGTAATCCAAGGTTGCTACAGCCACTGCTCTTCTGAAGAGGCTGGAAGCATCACAGCTCAGCCAAGTACTCAGCCTTCTAAGGAGAAAATAAATTTCTCATATTATAGAAGTTAAAACAGGGAGAAAGAAAGAATCTGAAGATGTACCTAGGTCCATAAGGAACAGACAGTTTTCTCAAATCTAGTTTCTCTCTCACTTTAGCTGAGTTTATCTTCGCTTTTCTTTAATGAGACGATGAGCAGGAGGTCCCGATGCTGCAAGCAGCTGTCAGGATGTAGAATCTCATGGCTTTTTCATCCTCATCTCCCCTCACACTAGGCAAGATTTCAGGTACCTCTAAGTGGAGATCACGTCTGATTTTTGTCGCTGCTCCTTCCCCCTGCTGCACACTGGCAAAACCCTCCTCAGCTTTTGCTTTACCTCAGCAAATAAGTACTTCTTTCCTGAATGAGTTTCCATCAACTTCAAGAAAGGGGAAAAAAAAAAAAAAAAAAAGGAGGAGGGATCACATTCTAATGAGCTGTCAAGCCTATTCTCTTCACATTCCTATTAGACTCACTGATAAGTGGAGCTGGCCCATGTGCCAGGCAGATTTAAATCAATGCCCATTCCCTGCTCCCTCCCCTCAGCCCTATTCTGTACCTCCCCTTCATTATCTCAGAGAAATCACCATTTTTCTGGGAAGTTTGTAAAACTGTACACAAGTGTGTGGTAGAGCTAAAAATATGTGGCTTGGAATATGCACTCAGCATCGCACCACACACTGATACATCAGGGCTCCTGCTTTACACTCCAGTTAGCTGTGCTCCACACAACATTTTCCCTTAGCTCTCATTAGAGGCTGGCTCAGTGGGGGCTGATTTCTTTACAGGAGGGTGGGCTGTTTATTCAAACTAACAGAAAACCAAAGGTTCTACATCTCCTAAAAGCATTTCATAATGGAGATCTTGAAGTACTTGGACAGTCTGCAAATTTTTTATCAGTACCCCACTGCCTAGAACAAATATTTCCATTCTTTGTACAAATACAGAGGGTGATGCAAAAATTTCTCGGAGATTGTACCATGGAGAAAGCCCAAGAATGACAGAAGGTTGACAATCACATAATCTGAAGTCCCTTATGCAGTCAGCAAGTAACAGATTTGCTTTAACAACCCCTTTACCATACCTTCTGTAATCTAATAATGCCAGCACAGTTCTTCTGTGGACGTTAAAGGTGGCCAGGGTGGGTCAGGAGCAACAGCTCTATTAGCTGTGGCTCAGGGAAACTGAGGCATGAACAATCTGAGCAGAAAATCAAGCAGCAGAATACAGATTTGCTTTTTTACAGCATCTGTTGAGAGAAATGGAGTTTGGGAAAGGGAAGAGAGGGAGAGTAAGAAGGGAAGTTACACAGAAGCTAAATAGTTAACAGCATATCACCCCTCCCCCAACTAGCTCACATTCCATCAAAACTACGTGGCAGACTTTATTTGTTAATAATATTTAACTTTCTTTGGCGCCTTCTCATACTTAAGCCTCTTTTTTCAGGTTAGTTGTAGACAAGCCATGAATTTGTAAAAGTGCACTTGATGACACATTAATAGGACAATCTGTCATATTGCAGCTAAACAGCTTGACAGATCCACACACCACGGCAAGAAATGACATTCAAGGCTGGAATGGGGCAATCATTTTTTTTTTTATTTTTTTTTGGTCTGCTGGGGGAGGCTGCATCTGTCTGCCTGCAACATCCCCTCTCCCATCCCAAGAGCCAAATCCCAGGACTGTATCCTCAGATTTGGGGGAAATGAATTCTAACTACTTTTGCAAGCACAAAGTTACCCAACGGTCCTGTAGGACAGTGACTGTAGCTAACTCCTGACTCTGTACTTCTCTCTACATTGGGCTGAAACAAGTGTCAGCACAGTTGTTACCTCTCCTCCAACCTTCAATTCAGCATTTTTATTATCTGTAGAAAATTGTACACCTTGCTGCTGCTGTTCTCGCATCCAAGTCACAACAGTTCCAAAGCATCCAAGTCTTGCCAACGCACAAACAATATTCAACTCCCATTTGTAAAAAAAAAAAAAAAAAAAAAATAGGGACAGGCTGACATTGCACTTCATAGCACAGCAAACCAAGGATCTCAAAATGATTGGAAAGACAAACAATTTCTTCTCTGAAAGGATCTCAAAATGATTGGAAAGACAAACAATTTCTTCTCGGAGCTCAGCACCATTGCAGCAATAATGGGAATAGTTAAGAACGTAACGATATCAATTCTGCATGAGGAAAGTTTTGAAGTAGGGAAGATATTATAAGCCACGTTTACATCTCAAAACTAAGTGTGAGAAGCCACATACAGTGTTTGCAAACACTGTAAGAAGTGTGTGTAAAGCTAGAGAGGAAACTGAAAAGTCAGGCAAGACTTGTGATTTGATCTTTCAGTCTCTACTTACACAATTCACTTTTTACTCAAGACAGAACTTACCTAACTACACTAAGAATAGTATCCAAAGGGCAAAAGCTAGGGTTTTCCCAGAGTTGCCCCTTGTAGATACATCCAGTAATTCCTAAACCTGGGTGCAGAGGCGGTGATTTTCTAAGCCAATGCAGTAGAAGGCACGTTACCATTCACTGACACCCCCCCCAAACCCTACTTCATGGCAGGCAAAGGGCTGGAGTGCTCCTCTGACAGATCCCTTAGGTTTAAAAGTGAAGTTTCCCAGTGCTCATCCCATATAAACTCAAGCCGTTGAACAGGTTAATATACCAAAGCTGTTAGAACAAACCTAAACACACCAGCAGACAAAAAAACCCAAAAAAACAAAAACAAAAAACAAAAACAACCCACCCACACAAACAACACATAAAACCCCCCAACAAAACAGGTTTGGGAAACCAGACCAAGCGCTTATGGCCACTTCAGTCGCTTTCTGCAAAGTGCCCCCGTTTCGGGGACCCCCGGGGGCTGTTCGCCAGCCCCGGGCAGCGGTGGCCCCGGCCCCACGCGGGGTCGCTGCGCCATCTCCTGGCAAACACCCGAAACGCGAAAACACCGCCTGCGCCTCCTGAAGGTTGGTTTGTCTTGCAGTGAACCCTTCGGGGTGACCGAGGTGTGAGATATAGCCTTGCTGGGGTAAAGCTTTTACCACTGATAAACAGCTCCTAGTAAAGCCTACTAACCACCCGCATTCGTTGCCCAGAAAAGTCTTTTCAAGAACACGAGGTGCGAAAGCTTTGGATAGATTTTCAAGCCTCCCTTCTGTGTGCAGGCAATTTTTCCATCGAAAACATGATTTTTATGCTTAAAGATTTGGCCCTTGCTGGGCAGCGAAAAAAGCATCACCTTGTACACTGTCTTCCTGAGAGCAGGTTGCAATATAAGCCGTTCACAGCAACAAGTTATTAGCAGAAATTATTCAGGGACATTAAAAAAAAAAACAAACACACCTTTTAAAGCACGGGGCTTAAGGTAATAATTGTAATTACAAATTACAAGCTGGCTCTGAAGAAAAGACAGCTTGTCACTTGGTGATTGCTTACACATTTAAAGCAAGTTGGAGAATCCATCAGATAGACAAGAAACATCTCATTTCTTTGGCCTTCTGAATATGGGAGTTTCCCATTTTAATACTTGGCTAGATACACATCATGAGTCTCAAACCCAAGTACCTGTGCAAATGCAAGAGCAGTTGGTTGGGTTTTTTCCTCCCTGCAGAATCTAAGGTAGGGGCAGCACAACATCCCCACAGAAAGAATCCTGTATGACTCTGTGGATCAGCAACCTGACTATCCTCACCTGACTAATTCCTTACTAACACAAGCACTAAAAAAACCTGACGCAGGGCAACAGACAAAATCAAAAGTACCAAGCCTGAACAGTGGAGTTCAAAGAACTCCAAGCACAACAGCTGTTCTGAATATGAAACAAAGGCAGAATACCAGCATTGTTAAGGAAAATGCATCATTTCATAAAACCAATTAGGACACGACTCAGCCCTGGCAGATGTCAGTCAAGCAAAAAAAAACCTCACTTCCATTGTTATAAAGAAATTGCTATTACAAACAACTACGGTTTGGACCCCCACACACAGCTGGCTTGCCAATCAAACCCTAAGTCAAAAGTGAAAACAGCCTCTGAGTAACATTTCCTGCTTTAACAGAACTGAAGCCATCTAGGTATGTAGGTAACTGAAGCTGTCTAGATCTGTTCAGATCTTAAAGGACTAGCAGCAGAACAAAGTCAAACTGTACTCAAACAGCCACTGCTGAGTTAGTAGCAAGGTTCCAATCTACCTTTTTCTTCAGACATCATCACTGTTGGCAAAAAGAGTGAAACAGCATCTCAGAGTGGCTCCTTCGTGTCTCAGGGCAGGTACTGAAAACGGGCACTGCGCTGCAATGAGCTGTGACATTTATGACATTATAGAACAAGTACCTCTCTGTAGAGGAACTGCATTATCAAACACAAGATCTAAAAGTAAAAAAGTAAAAAAGTAAAAAGTAAAAAATCTAAAAGATCTAAAACCTGTAGGTCTTCCTGGAGGTGTTTTACCACAGATGTAAGGGATACCAAACTAACTTGAGGAAAAAAACCCAAGATCCAGAGGTGGGAGAGATGCAGTTTTGGTTTTCTAGTCCATATATATCCAGTTAGATTTCTTCCCACTGAATCCTTTCCCAAAAACAGTCCCACAGAAAGTAGAAATTTTATCATGAATGTTTATTATGAACGAACAACTTTACAATGCAGTCATTTCTACTCCTCAGTACATGCTTGAAGTAAGGTAACTTCTGTGACCATGAAATCTTAGGGGGAGAAAAGTTATGACTACACACAAATTCAGGATTTAAAAAAAAAAAAAAATAAAAAAAATCAAGAGATCTTTAAAGGCAACCACTGGGATGTCTTCTGATTCAAGCTGCAAAAACTCCCCAACACCTGTGTATAACAATCTTACAGAAATCCATGAAATTGCAGCATGAGAGTGAAGGGCCAGACATTTGTTCCAGTATCATATACTGAGGGACAACTTTTAGTTTTATTACATTAAGTAACGCACTGCTTCAGGGCACAATAGTATTTTTGCATGGCAAAGAATGGTTTACTCCATCTAATGACTTTGGTAACAAAAAGATCAGATACTGCATACTATTATAAATTATTTTTAAAAAAAAACACATAACAGTAAAACCTACACAAAAGAGAATAAATCTTCCGTTACCAAAGGCAAGGAGCAAGGAGATGTATCAAAATCTTGTAAGCCATAGGTGCGAGGGTTCAGTCAGCTATTGCTCCTAGCTTTCAACAAATGGCACCTGAAATGACTGTCAAGTCTTTCTCTGAATCCAGGGTACTGAAAAGAAACCGCAATTGGAAGCTTCAGTTTTTTAAATACAACCAATCCTCAGAAAAAATGCAGCATGTCCAGGGTTTAACCAAAGTTGGGGGTTTTTTTTGTTTCCAATTGTGGCACTTACTAAAAACAAGAGACCCACCTTCAAATGCTTGGGTGTAGTTTAAGGCCAACTTCTTGTCACACGATAAAAATGCCTTTTATTCAACATCTCCAGATTTTACTAGTTCTTTTATCTTGGTAA